CTAACTTTTACCCTCTTTCCTTTGAGAATATCAATTAGGATCCAATTCATCAAATAACTCACCTGACTTTCACAATTCCAGCTTTCAGAGGAGCGAGTGGATCTGTTAACTGGTAATCAAAAAAAACGAGTCAAAGTATGATTTCCGTGTGTGTTTTTTGCAATCTAGTGAGCTCTACCCCTTGCAACTTTGGACTTACTGCTCATTTATAATCACTTTCTTTGAGTTTTAAAAAAAAATACAAAAGGTCAATGTTCAAAATGGCAGCTCAGTTCAAAAGTTCAATATTCAAAATGGCCCAGCTGATTGAAATTTTCAGTTTATAACTAAGTCAAGAACTAACCTTTTGTCCAACAAGGTTGTTTTGTTGTTTTCCAATYACAAACGTATCAACACTGTGTTCTTGGATTTTCAATGGGAATGTTTGCTTCATAGGGGAYGGGCAGTTTTGACTTTCGACTTTCAGTGAGTCTAAGGTGGCTGGTACATGAAAGTAAGTTGAAGCCTATAGAATAAATAAACAAAACATAAGTTGTCAATCATTGCTATTAATCAGGACATGAAATTCTTGCTYTCAACTCGTGAAATGCGAGTGAAGTTTTGTATTTAGCAAGTAAGTAAAAATTTAGCTAGCTATAGGTTTTGAGAGTATGACCACAGTCCAGAAATTGAAACGTTTAGAACYTGCAGTCAAGTAACKTTTGTTATTTGCCGTGTTCGATTGCTTGTGACTTTGAAAATCTTGCTAGTGAGAACAACTCACTATCGAGGTTTTGCTAGTGGGTTTAAAAGTTAATTTCGTGTCCCACATAAAAAAATKTTAACTGATGAATAACCGTGACAAGGCAAGGTGTGTTTAGATGAGCGTTGCAAAGCCGACGTAAATAATTGCCCTATTTTATAATTACTTCACATTAAAACAAACTATTGTTTTAACGCTAGGGATCATGGTCGCTGGAGGGKGATGGAATGAGAACAACATCTTAGGGATGATAATGGTGTTGACGATTATGGTGGTGCTAATGACGACGATGGTGTTTGAAGATGATGTAAGTGGTGCCGCTGGTGATAATAATGAAGGTAATGATGATGATGTGGATGATGATAATGATGATGATGATGATGCTGMTGATRWKATGATGATAATGRTRATGWTGATGWTGATGWTGATGACGATTATTTTTATTATCATTGTCATCTGTCCATCATTATTGAATTTTTATTTTATTATTATTTAAGCAGATACTGCTTCTTTTTTTTTTCTAAGAATGTTTCAAATCAGTTCTCATAGCATACTTTTAAAATTAACATGATAATACCTCATCGACAGATACTGTGGCATCCAATCCTGTACCAGCTATTTTCAGGTCACACTGAGCAGCGTTGATGATTTTAAGGTTGGCATATCCATTGGGTGGTGCAACCACATGAATACGGCTGTTCTGTATAGCTATCTGCAAGAATGCAGCAAACACAAAGGAAACTGCTGCCAAAAACATACCAGCACACATTCTTTGAAGAGGCCTAAGAGAGAAATCATAATAATCGTCATGAACTGGCGCACGACACAGGTCATAGAACTATAGCTAGCCATACCCTTAACTACTGTACCATCAACACATTTTCTTTACTGATAGAATTTAAGTGGGTCATATTGTGTGTCAGGACTTTCACCCCTTGAAATGGAGGTACCGAAATCGAAACCACAATCCTAGCAGAAACTGGGATCCCTATCTTAGATTCAAAAAAATATATAACCCAACATTTT